CAGAATTCCGATGCCTAATTAGTGAACAAGGCCCCAGAAAAGGGCTTTGGCGTCATTGGCGTGGATTGGTGTCAAGCACGCAGTCTTGCGTACAGGAATAGAACTGCCGCGCACTCCGCGCCAATTTCAGCAGTTGTCTCCGCGCAAGTTGCGCAAGTCCTCCAAACTCACGCGTGCAACTCAAGCGCGCAATGCTGCAAGACCCGCGTGAATCCGGGACTCAAGACATCAGTTCAGGATAGATCTGCTGAAGCACAATTTGCTCAGACTGAGAGTCTTTCCCAGCCGCAAATCCGAAAGACATGGCTCATTACCGGTTCATCTTGTGATCGTCGAGGTTGAGCAATGTGCGAGCTCATCTTTGAGATTTGTCTGCGGATACCTGTGTAACGATGCGAACACAAGGATTCAGCGGGGCTGGTTCCTGTTGCGGCTTGACATGGTTCGTGTCTGGGGAGGAAAATGGATTCCAGCAGGTTAGTGATTTCGTGTTCAGCTTTGGCTTGGCTAGCCAATGAAGTCTGCGCCGTGTCATCCTTGTTCTAGACGTTGGGGTCTAGTGAGGAGCCTATGAGTCCTGAGATGAGAGATGAAGCCACTGACAACAGAGACCCCTAACCTTGTAGGTATTTTTTTGCCGCCCCGGCAGGCAAGTATCTTCGACGGTGCTCTGGGCCACACCTATGAGGAGTTTTCGAGCAAGTAGTTGCCTTGGAAGCCTGGAATCGAAGCGTGCGAGGAAGCTGGATACCGGCCAGTTACCATTCATGGCGAAAGTTACCTTGATCGGCTGCCTGATGTTGATGAGACAGCACGTCCGGGGCAGGGACGAAGCGAGCAACGGCGCGCTATTCTGCGGGCAGTTCCGCGAACAAGCGCTCTGATTTTAGCAGGTCTCAACTCTCTCCAGTGCAGCGTACTACTACGGATACTGATCTTGTTTTCGGTGATGTCGGTCGAGTTCCCACCAAAGATCGACAGGCAAGCCCGAAGGAGACCGGGTTCTCGATCCCCCAACGCTTCGCACATTGCCCAGTCGGGTGCTGGTGTGTGCTTCTCATGTCCAGTGTTACTGAATACTTAGCGTAACACCGTCTGTACCCGTACACGTGTAGAGGGATCTTCTTCAGATATCCAACGTCCGTTGTAGAGCGTAGAGTGCGCGGTTGCGCGTGTACCGTACCCATAAACGTCAATCGTATTGGTAGCATACCAGTTGACTGGGAAGAGAGGACGGGACAAGAGCGGGGACAGGAGCGAAGGAACGATCGTTAGGCGGGCCCCTGGGCCTCGTGAGATGCCAAGATTCGCTCTTTCTGAAAGAAGCAGAGGCTTGGTGGCTTGCTGATGTGTTAGTGGATCCACGCCATCTTTGCAGTGAAATGGTGTGTGAAAATTGCCCCAAAATGGGTGGAATCCGTAGTGGATGTGACGCGTTGGGACACTGAAGCCGGGAGGTAGACATGGCCAACCACATTCTCTCACTGAGTCGCAGCGGCGTGTTGGCGATGAGGAGTGGGAGCCAGAGACCGGGGGTGGCATCCGTAGTTGGGGTTCCATTTCTTGTGTGACATGAAAAAAACCCGCAGATAGGGAAGCGTGTTTTGAGATGTAGCGATGAGGGAATCCATACTTCATGGGTGATGGTGATGGACCATTAGCCAGCGGGCAGGGTTGTTGGCAATATCAATAATATTCGGGGGTCGTCGGTGTTTGTGGGGCACAGAATGACAGTCCGAATATCTGCGTCTACGTACTCCGTAGTAGTCTCCGTTTTAGCGTGGCGCCGTCAATCCGTCTGTTCGTCCGGTTTGCTATATCCGGGCAGATACCTACTTGGACCTCGTGGGACGTGGAGACGGCTTCAAGACAAGGGCACAGGGGTGCCCGTGGTACCGTGGGATGGAAGCAGACCCAGACTCCCCCAGTCGTGCCAGTGTAAGCTCGTTGGCCGAATGGCTTGCCTTAAAAGGCGCTGGGCGTTGTAAGTTGTGGATATGTTACATGGTAAGGTAGATGGAGCTTGCTGCGGGACGGTCCCGTCCTTTGATAGCGAAGTCAAAGGTTGAGTGGATGAGAGGCGTGGTACCTAATGACAGGAGGCTTGGAGGTTACACAAGAAACACATACCCTTGGCGGGTTGCGAGGGCGGGAAGAAGTGAGGGGATGGAATGTCGGGATTTCGTTATTTTCTGCCCAGTGGCTGAGAGCAAGCACTGAGGTACGTACGGACATTGAAGCTGTCACGCTGTGTAGCATTTGCTTAGCTCACCTTCCTTGCCTTACGTAAAGCCTGCCCATCCCATCAGTTCGCAAATACCTTGGTACCTTCCGGAGTAAATAGTACCCAATACTCCAGGCAATGAACGAACTTGTGGTCCAAGTGGCATAAAGAAGGCACCATCTTTCACAGGCCTTGAGAGAGGAAGGAATACCTACCTAGAGACTGGTACGGATACATCGTCACCACCTCATACCTGTCCACTGGTCCATTCATCTCAAATACTCAAGGTATGGATACCTCAGATTGTCGGTGTCCCTGCGAGTCTGCTCCTTCCACCTAAAGAGCGACGCTGACCCCCCTGCACACTCGATGCTTGTAACTCGACGCTTGATGCTCCATGGAGCCATCGACCGACTCTCAAGGTCTGGTGGGGTCCGTATCTAGAATTCTGCTCGACTCTCCTCTGTCAAATCTCTTCCCGTCTGGCTCGATGGCTCCCCCCCACCTTCACCAGTAATATGCCCAGTCCTTTTGCAACTTGCGCTAGTCAGCCTGCGGCTGCCTTATTTGGGAGCACGCCTCATGGGCCCATGAGACCAATGACCTGGACTTGTCGTGCGAGCGACACTCTCGCGCAGCTGCGCGATGCGATACGTTGCTCGTTGTTAATTGAGGTGTCCAGCATTCAGTGTTCAGTGTTCACCCTCACGCCTCTACTCCGGCCCTTACGTGTGTACCTTCCGATGCCTACTGTCAACTAGGCCTACCTGGGTATTGATACGTACCTACACAAGGTTTGGCTCACAATTTACGGATACAACCTGACCCTAAGCTGGTGTCTTTCCTTCTGTCTGTCTCTCCTATGTCTCTCTCTCTTCATCACCTTACTCGCAACCAGCTCCGTCCGTTCCACTCTCCGTCTCCGTCTTGCCCCATACCTCCTCCATCCGTCAACTTCTCAGTGCTACTACCTACGAGGTTGAGTCTTGTCCGCCCCTCTCCACCGCGAAGGGCCCCTAGATACCAACCTAGCATCCGTCATCTTCAACCATGAACCACCTCAAGGTAGACAGACAGTCTACTGTGTCACCGCAGCTTTACATTCTGACATCCTGACATCCTCCGATCCGAGACACAGTCTAGCCAAGCGCTATTCAGAATCTCCCATCCCAACATCACTCCCCTGTTGCTTTTCTCCTCGGTATACATCTTGACGTTTAGTCAGTCAGGGATGCCTACCATTACCTGGTAAAGATATTGCGGAGAAGACAAGTATCTCGACCGACTCCTCATTCCGCATTCCTCAACGGAACGCCCGGCACACACCTCCTTTACACATCTTCCTTCTCGACCCCTTTGGCGCCATCCAAGCAAGCCAAGCAGCTTCTCGACCTGGGCCATCATCCATGGAAATGAGAGGGTCCGACACTACGTCGTACAGATGGATATCTCACTCGACATTGTCCAGAACCCTGGCTCAGTTTTGCTGAAATGGATCAACTACCTGGACTGTGGAGGACTGACTGACTTATCACGGTCCAAGTGCCTATATCACAAAACTACGGCTGACCGGTCATCCCCAACAAGGATCATCAGTGACGTCCGCAGTGCGCTCTTGACAGACACAACCTCTCTGTGGCGGCGGCTGAAGCAGTCAAAAGAAGGGTTGGGATAGACAGCATGTTTCGCAACTGTTGACGCATCTGTCGAGGATTGCGTTGGCGAGTTCAGCCGACTCGCATGCACTGACGCTGCAATCCGCTGACGAGCCTTAGAGAAGGCTCTTTGAGGTCATCGCCCATTTGTTGGAAACAAGGCAAATCGAGTAAGGTGACCCAGCGGTATCTGCCTAGAGGTAACGGATGCCATGGCTAAACCAACATATTCGTCCCATCGGCCGTGAGGTCGGAAGACGAACCAGGCGCAGCCGCAGCCCTTCGCTCATCTTGTCCACCCTTTTTCAACACCACCCTCCTGCTGCCCCCTTGACCGAACCGTGGTCCGCGAACCAGCGGCCCCCAAAGAGGAGCTTGACCAGCCAGAACAGAAAGAACTGTATAATTTTGTAAAGCAAGATACATACATCTGCTGCAGCCACTAAAGACTAGTCTCTGATGGTGTGCCAGCCCGCACCACACATATTCCCTGCCACAGTCCTGGCTCCAGGGGTGTGCATATGCGCTCTGCAGCGCCTGATGATGATGGCCATCCACCGCAAATCCTTGCCTCTTCCTTCTCACCTCTCGCTGGCTCTCAAAACCCACATGAGGCTCTGCAAGTACGTACTCCGTGCGGTTCGGGGGTTCCCTTCTGTCCCTCAGGGCTTTTGCTGTTGGTATGCCTGGGTGACTGCCCTGGCGCAATCTCAATGTCCTACCGATATGCCTATCCACGTTATGGCTTATATACATCAGGCTCCGCCACGCTTGTAGGTCTCCGATGACATTATCGTGTCTCTTGCTGTTCAGACCAAGCACGAAAGCAGCAAATTTCTGTATCCCTACACTTGTTGCATTGTTCACTCACTTATAACTTGCCTCTTCCTTTCGTTTAAGTCTGCAGCATATCCTTCAACATTCCAACATCCATAGCCCTTTGGTCTGGTCCTCGAGAAATCCCCTATCACGATCGGACCAATACTACGACGCCTTTTCCCACCTGGATATCCGCTACCATTTACCCCCTTGAGAAGGTTTACATCCAGTGTGCTGTCCTGATCCACTGGAGTATACTACCATTGTAGCCTCGAAACTTCCATCTTGACCAGACATACAACATGGCCTACTACTACGAGAATGTCCAAGGAGGGCATTTCTCTCAGGATCAGGTACCTTACTACGAAGAACAGAGTTACAGCCAGTTGTCCATGGCTTACCTTGGAAGTTCAACAACATCGAGCTCCCCGGCACCGGTTGACCCTAGTCTTGGATCCTTTTCCCATCCGCAATGCCAAACTCCGTGGCCGACACACCAAACCCACCAGATTCAGCAATACATGGATGGGCCACGAACAGCCTTCTTCGTTCATGACCATACCCAAGTTTTTCTTGGAGTAAGCCAACCTGCCAAGGAGTCAAACCCTCTACCTCCAGCTTCACAGAGGAGACACGGTTCCCCATGTTCTCAGCAGACGCTGTCGAGCAGTGATTCCCATAGCCCACCCACGGAGAGTGATGTCCTACCCGCAACTCCCCCGGACTATTCGGCCACTTCTCCTCTCTTGCAGCACAAGCAGTTCGTTGGAAGCTGGGGAACCCAACTTCAGTCCCACGCGCTGTTTGGCATGGACGTGCAAGGGAATACCTGTGTCAATCCTTACGAGGTGAACGACATGTTTGAGAAAGAGGTTGTCCCAACGACCTTTGAGAGTACTGCAACCTTTAGCTTTTGCTGCTCAGAGTCCGATGAGGCCAGTGTTGCCCAACACTCGACTTTCTCGTCACGTCAAATCACTCCAGAGCCCCTCATCAAACAGGAGGCAACCATAACCAACCTACCATTCCATTCAAACTACCCAGACCCTGAATCGGGCAGCACAAGCATCTTCGAACCGGAGATCAAGGCCGAGCCTCTTGCCGCCGACGACGACAAGGACCTGGACTACAAACCCAAGCATTCGAGGAAACGCTCCCGAAAACCCACGGCCGGATCCCAGGCTCGCCCCTCCGGTTCGTCTCATGAACGAAAGCGGTCGAAAATCAACAACGACATTGGTAGTCTTTCTTCAACTAGACTAAACGCAACGCTGTCGTCGATGAGAAACCCCAAGATCCTTTGCAAAGAGTGCAACACCCCCTTTTCCGATGAGAGCACCCACCAGAAGCACATGAAGCAACACCATACCCGCCCCTTTGTATGCGTCTTCAACTACGCCGGCTGCCCATCCACCTTTGCCAGCAAGAACGAATGGAAGCGTCACGTAAGTTCTCAACACTTGGCTCTCCAGTACTGGCTCTGTGAGCAAGACGGCTGCTCCAAAACCACCAACCCTCCCACCAACCGACGCTCTTCTTCCTCTTCCTCCTCTTCCGTCACACCGACACCACCCGCCCTGCCAAACGGCGCCATCTTCAACCGTAAAGATCTCTATACACAACACGTCCGCCGCATGCACGTACCGCCACATGTGCGCAAGGTTCAGAAGCAGAAGAAGCCTACCCCCGACTGGGACGAGCACCTCAAGAGTCTACAGACGGACGCAGAGAAGATCCGCTGCGATCTGCCAAGATACATGCGCTGCCCCGCCGTCAACTGCGGACACGATTTCAACGGACCCCAGGCCTGGGACGAACGCATGGAGCACGTTGCGCGACATCTTGAGCGCGCCGCGGAAGGAAAGGAGCCCATGGTCCACTTTGGCGGGGAACACGACCCGACACTCACGCAATGGGCCTCCAGCGCTGATGTCTACGTTGTCCGGCGGAAACGGAACCTTGCACTTGAGTGGGAGCTCATTAATCCCCTCAAGGGAGAGGTTGGTCCCTCCGCAGGCAACGGCAAGGGTGGCAGCAGCAGCACCAACTCGACCGTTCACAAGGAGATTGTTGTTGCAGTCTGCTCCGACGAGGATGCCGAGGGCGAGGATGAAGAGTAATTCACCTTTATCACTCAGTCATCATGATTCTTGTTGATCATATATACGTTATGTACTTTGCAGAGCTGTTTATCCTGGCATCTCGGGAGTTCAAAGCTTATCCTTTTCATTTTCGTCTCATTTTATTAGATACCTTTTCTTTTACATTCTCTTTGCCTGCTGAAGTTTTCTACTTCTACGACTAGGAAGATCGCGAAGGAGTAATGCGACTTGGGGGGGAAAATATTTTCCTTTCTGCAACGGACTTATAGTTGGCATATTGGAGCGGGAATGAGAACAGGATATAACCCATAGCCATGATCTGGTCTTTTCTTTTTTGATAGTCTTCTGCATTGATACCAATTTACTGCATCTCCGTTCTAATTCAAGTGCCTAATGACCTGAGAGTGTAATGATCAGTAACATGTGCCTTCATCTACGAAAGGACGGCACGCCAGTCTCACAGCACCACCAAACTCCGAGGAAACCATAGTAAGTCCCACATAGAGAACGAAGCTACTACGGACCATTGGGAACGACCAATCCCTCCTTCTTCTCCCGTACCCCATGTAACGAGATGCGATCCTAGTTCGATTTCTCATTGCCGCGCTGCAACTCCCTATCGTGGTGTCGCCCCTTCAAGGTCCTCCTACAACGCGACCAAACAAGTCAGAATCAAGCGCGCTTCTAGACCAGCGGGCCGCCAGTCGCCAGTACCTCCCCGTCTACGCGCCTGTGGCTGCTTCATCCATGGATCAGGCTGGCGGTTGGGCGTTTGAGCACCCATCCTCACCAGCGTCTACTCGGGGAACGGCAGCGGCAGCGGCAGCAAGGAGCCGTGAGGCTCTCTCTCTCTCTCTCTCTCTCTCTCTCTCTCTTCTACACTCTGTCCCTATCGACTTACACGACAAAAAAACCAGCACTTACACGTCCCCCCCCCCCTAAAAACTCCACAACCACACCTTTGCACCAAACAGCAGCGGCCACCCGTCCACTGGAGAGGCGGAGATCTCGAGTTGGGTGTGGGCAGCGAGCGAAACCCCGAGTAATGCGGCTCAAGTTGGTTCCCAGCCCAGCTCTCCAGCTTTCCGCCTTGGGCGCTAATCGACACGTCCGACGTAAGGGATGGGCATGGGGTGGGGAGGAAACGGGTGGACGGGAAGGACTCTAAGCCTCTGAGGGCACCTTGGGTAGAATGCTGACAGTCCAGGGATGGTTTCTGTTGGCTAAAGTCACTGTAGCTACGCTCGCCTCTCCTGCATGACCGGATTCTTCTCCCGTTCCGATGAGTGGCTTGGCTTGAACTGAGCAGAGCGGTAAGTGTACGTAGAGGTAAGGTAGGCAGGTAGATAGCCGTACCGTGTTGGCCGCCCATCACCCATCGATCTAAGTTCTGACAAGCATTCCTTCGCTTCCTTCATCCCATAGTCCGTAGGGCTCGCGAGGGCGAAGGAACATCCGTAGGAATAGGTAAGAAGACCGGGGTGGGGGGGAGGGAAGGGGGTGTGAGGCAAGAAAAGTACATCGGTGACCTTCCCCGCGGCCCCCAAAGTGTCGAAACATGCCCCGGAGATAGAATCAGAAACCGGATTTCCTTCCGTTTCTTCTCGCTGTTGTTTCTGCAGTTTTCGTCAGACACCCATAGGGTGCAGTGGTGTGAGTGGTGTTGGTCTCTACCTAGTAGTTGTTGGCCGCAGCGGCGCGGCCCAGATAGAACAACCAGAATTTAAAAGACGAGACACGGAGGGAAAAAGGACAAAAGACACGGATCGAGAGACAGAGACCGAGGGGACCAAGGCGGGACGGGGAGGGAAGCTCTCAAGGCGGAACCGAAGCCGTCAGCACTAGTACGCGTTGGACACACCGGCCGGCCGGTCTATGCAAAGCTGAACATCGACACATAAGCATCCAGACACCCAGAGAAACAGAGTGATTACCTCCACGCCGCGTGCCGCATGCGCAGGCGGAGATGGGGGTGGCTCAGCCACGAAACGCAGCTCGCATGCCGCCAACGGTTCTCCGGGCCTTGGGGGCTGGGCTACCTACCCATCTGCCAGCAGACACATCTACAGTGTCGGTCTTGCCCATACCTCCCCATCTGTCTATCCCGCGCGCGAGTCCACAAGCGAAAACGACCACGTGCGACTTTTGCTCTTTTCTTTTTTTCTTTTCCTCTTCTCTTGACAAGTCGACTGCGCCGCGGCGCAGCAGCGGCGGCAGCTGAGGTGGGTACCTTAGCCGATGATGCAAGCTCTAGAGGGCTTACCTCCTGCGTCTGCAGCGTTTATCTAGATGCAGCTTTCTTCCTTTGCGTGGGCAGTGCCGCAGATTTGGTTTCTCTGAGGGTAGCTTTCGCGATGGATAAGATGATACGTTACAATCGGGGTGGTGCGTGGATTTCATGGCCCCCAAAAAGTAAGGCAAGGTACCAATACGCTGGGATCTATGACGACGATGGTAAGCTTTCGACGGCGCGAGGCGTCGTCTTTACCTGCATTGGACGTTAGGGCGCGGAGAGGAAAAAGTCCAATTGGGCGCGTTCGCGGCTGAGGGCTGATTGAAGAAAGGACTCCGTGGAGGTTTCCAGTCACAGTTGCCTCGAGCTCGGCATTTGCACCTCTTGATGCGCTACTGTACGCCGCCTCGTGTTCAAGCGTAGGAAGCAGCCCTCCAAGTCTTCCTCTTTTCTCTTGGCTCTTACTGGAGACAATGTTCTGCACAAGCTGCTTCCAACAGAAGAAGCTACCGGTATCAGATGCTATTCTGGATGATAGCCCGATAGTCTCATGCATGTGAAGGCTTCGTACTCAGCCAAAGCTGAGTTCTAATTTCATCGTCAAACACGTCGTAGGCCATAAAGCCACGGCGAGACCGTGCTTGATGAAATGTAGGATCGCAGATCAAGAAGCTGAAGCAAGGCTCTGGAACGTTCTGCATCTCAGAAGGAACAGATGGAAATCGCACGTACGAGCTGTCACGCGTCGTTGAGGATGGCAGGGGTTTGAATCCAGCGGGAATCCTTCTCGGAAGAAGAACGCCACGGTAAGCAGCTACGTAAGCTGGTTTCTTCGGTCCAGCGGGTGGCTTCTCATGCTTACTTACGTTCTGTAACGGCATGCTGGACGTTGCCACGGCGCGTGGTCGCCGTTGTAATTTATCTAGTCCGGTATCTGTTCGGTGCTGGGTTGCGGGACCGGGGTCGGGGTGGAGCAACGGGCTCGTAGAACCGGGTGGTCGCGCGGGGCCGAGGTCGCTCCGACCGGAGAGCCGATGGGCAGGCACGCTTCAGGTGTAACTTGGCACCTTACCCTACGATAGGAAGGCATCGAGGCAAAATTGATGCTTTACCTTAGGTACCAGGTACCTGACGTATCAAGGTTGCGAGGAAAGTGTACCTAGCCGTCAATCGATCAAACAAACGTATCGCCCTATCGAGAACTGCTTTGTAGCTCCCCAAAGAACGAGTGCCGAGAACAGGATCAAATGTTGCTGGCAGGAGAGCGATCAAGAGACAGAATTGACCGGTCCCCGATGATGATGATTCCGCGGCTTCGGTATAAGGAGACCCGCAATCTCGAAAGCGAATGCAAGGAACGAGCAATACGAGGGATTTCTATCTTCTGGGTACGGATTACCTGCAAGGCATTTTGCCGTTTGTCGATGAGATCAGCTTGTGATTGGGCATCGTCGTCTCCAATATACAGCTATTGAGGGGCCAAGGTGGGATCATGCTGAGTCGTGTCTAGAGGGGGATGCTGTGGCACCATTGGTGTTCTGCCAGTTGGGCTGCCGTCAGTCTGGCGATCAACAAGAGAATGCCCTGGCTATATCTGTAAAGTTTGCGAAACATGTTTTGATAAGCTTGTTTCCCCGGCGATGAAAGCCAAGGATCGCTGCCCGGGTCGAAACAGGTTCTGCACACTACACCTTACCTTCCAGTACAGTTTTCCGGGTTGACTTTCCGAGGAACAGACGGGAATCAGGGTCTCTTGCTGCCAGTGAACCCCAAAAACAGGAGGTCCCTGCTAAGAAGCCGGCGACTAAACCCCACCAGCAGCACTGCCGACCACTAGGTGCCTGGCGCTGTCCACTAAGATACACCGCTGGCATCCTTCTGTCACCCCTGATAGGGCGAACAGTACGGGGAGCTCTTGGAAGCCTGCGCCCGCACCCCGCTTCCCTCTGCAAGCTGAGCCATCCTCCATCGCACAAAGCCCGCGCCGCTGGCAACAAGCGCCTGTGTGATACGAGAGAACGAGAGAACGAGATGGCAACTTACCTTACCTTGGGTAGTTAAGAAAGGGGGAAACTCTCTTTTCTAATTGTCCATCTATCATATCACCCGTGGGACCAGCTTGTGCCTTACTTCCCTTTACCTTCGTTGCTCCCTCTTTCACCCATTCATCGCCGTTTGATCCGCATCCGGAGCTTGTTTACACTGCCCGCTTACAACCCACCAAAAAAAGGCACCCTGAGCTGAGCTGAGCAGAGCAGAGCACCGCTTCGCTACGTCATATCATTAAGGCCAATCCCCGAACATCACATCAGCAAACGCAGTCAGCATACAAACTTGACTTCATCTTGACCCATTTCCGCCCACTCTTTTCTCTCTTTCCTCTCTCCCACCTGGCAAACGATATCCCATACCGTGAACCAGCATCCTACAGCAAACATGGAGTCTTTCGGAGCTCTCAAGCGGCGGACGACCGAGATCCTCCAATCTCTCCCGCAGAACCTGCCTAACATGCCCAACATGCCTAATGTCAAGAGGCCGTCTCTGTCCAGCGGAACCGGTCCCAAGCCCATGAAGGGCACATGGGAAAGAATCGATGTCCCGCCTCTCGCCCGCTCCTCCCACACCGTCAACGTCGTCAATGGCTCTGCGTACGTCTTTGGCGGCGAGGTCAACCCCCGTGAACCCGTCGACAACGACGTCCACGTTATTAGGCTTCCCTACAACAGCGCCGGTGCCGACTACTACAAGATCAAGTCTGCTCCCGCGAAACAATATACCCCGCCCGCCGACCCCGAGCCCGCCCCGAAACAGACGGAGGAGAAGATTGTCAAAGAGGAGCAGCCCGAGGCGTCCGGCGATGTCGAGGAGAAGGCCGCTCTGAAGGAACAGCTCCTCGACGATGTATCTCTTGCCTCACCAGGCGTCACCGGAGAAGAAGAAGAAGAATACTCGTCCCTCGGAGCCGGCGAGCAGACCACAAATGCGCTTCCCACCGCGGCAGACAAAGGCAAAGGCCCCGCCCTGCCCGAACCCCCCGCCCTCGGCAACGTCCCGGGCCCGCGTGTTGGCCACGCAACCGCTGTCATCGGTAGCCGTATCTTCCTCTACGGCGGCCGCGGCGGTCCGGACATGGCCCCCCTCGAGGAGGCCGGCCGTGTCTGGGTCTTTGACACTCGCACAAACTCCTGGTCCTTCCTTGACCCCGTACCGCCCGCTCCCGGCGTCACCAACCTCCCCATGCCCTCCCCGCGCAGCTACCACTCCGCCGCTGCGACCGAACGCCCGCGCGACTTCGCCCCCAAGCACGCCCGCGCAAAGCAGACCTGGAGGGCCTGGGCCCAAGGCGACAGCGCCGACGTCGGCATCCCCCAGGCCCCCATCGTAGGCCACGCCGCAGCCAACGCCACCGACGAGGAGGACGACGGCTACGGCACCTTGTTCGTCCACGCCGGCTGCCTCGCCAACGGCGAGCGCACCAACGATCTCTGGGCCTTTGACGTGCGGAGCCGGGTGTGGAGCCAGTTACCTTCGGCACCCGGCCCCGCGCGCGGTGGCGCCGCCATTACCGTCAGCAAGAGCCGGCTGTTCCGCTTCGGCGGGTACGACGGCAAGGGCGAAATCGGTGGCCAGCTCGACTTCATCCATCTCGAGATGGACACCTTTGACGACGGCGTCTCCAAGGGCGAAATCGCCGTCCACGGCCGCGGCGGCTGGCAGAGCATCGCCCAAGGCGCGGGCGCAACCGTCGCTGCCGGTGCCGGTGCCGGTGAGCAAGAGATCCACCTCGTTCCCGGCCAGACCTGGCCCGGTCACCGCAGCGTAGCGGGTCTCGAAGCCGTCACCGTCGGCGCAGGCCGGGAGTACCTCCTCCTCATCATGGGCGAGCGCGAGCCTAGCGCAGACGGCCACGCCGGCGCCGGCGCAATGTGGGACGACGTGTGGGCGTTCCAGGTCCCGCCGCTCGGTATGACGGCCGCCAGCGTGCGTGACGCCATGTTGCAGGCCATTGGCCGTCCCACGGGCGAGGGCAAGTGGACAAGGCTGTCAATGGAGCCGTACGACGACGACAATGACGACGGCGAGCCTGCGCCGCGCGGATGGTTTGGGGCGGCGGCGATGGGTGATGTAGAGGAGGCTGGTGTCGTTGTCTGGGGAGGACTGAGCTCCGAGAACAAGAGATTGCGAGACGGCTGGATCCTGAGGATCCCCGAGTGAAATGGCTCGTTTCTAAATTGCATAAAATTTGCATAGAAGATGGTTTTTTTTTCCCAAGGTTGATATCAAACACAGCAGAATTCGAGCGGCGACTCAATAGCAAGTGATGAAGAAAATAATCTCATCACGTTTAACAAGATAAAAAAAAAGGAAATTAGGCAGATATTCGCTGTCTCCGGGGGGTAAGGGACAGAAGACAGATGAATCTCTAAACCGATCCCATGCATTCCGAATACAGCACATTGTGTTTTATATACAAGCCGGACTCCCACCGGCTCTATTCCATTTCGCTTGAGCCCATTTCGTGAGCTTATCCCGAACTTCCGCACGCGCGTTGAGATATTCTCCCCTCGCCTGTCTCCATTCCTCTTCTCTGGTCTCTCTCGTCACACAATTTTTTTTTATTTTACAAATCGCTCCTCGTCACCTCGGGACCCCACGGCTCGGCGGTGAGGTTCGTCAGGCCCTTTGAGTTTTCGCAGGTTTGGCGACCGCTCTTAATGGGGCCGGGCTTGGGGACCTGGGCGGCGGCGGAACCACCGGTGGCGGCGGCGGTGGCCTTGAGGGCTTCAAGGAGCTGAACGGTCGTCTCGGGGGTAAGGTCCTCGTAGTAGTCGTCGTTGATTTGAACCATGGGGGCATTGACGCAGGCGCCAAGGCACTCGACCTCGAGTAGGGTGAAGAGGCCGTCCTTTGTGGTCTCGCCCTGCTTAATGCCGAGGTGGTCGATGATGGCCTTGACGATTACGTCGGAACCGACGCCGCCAAGTTGGCAGGGGGTCTGGTTTCAATATGTCAGCGATAATTCCTAGACATGAAACAAGTATTTTCGGGTTGCGTGGTCCTGTAGCCATGGCGTGTATCAAAGATATCGCTTTTCCACGATAGCCTGACCGCGGGACCCTCGGAGAGTGCCAATAGTGCAGATTGAACGGGCGTATCGCAGGAAGATGGCAGACTTACAGTTGTGCAGGCCTGGATAAAGTACTTTCCGACGGGGGTGCGGTTGTACATGGTGTAGAAGGATGCGACTTCGTAAACGCGTTGAGGGGGCATCTCGAGCATGCGCGCGACCTCGTTCATAACGCTGATGCTGGTGAAGCCGTGCTGGCGCTGGCCGAGATCGAGAATGGGCATGACGGCGGCCTTCTTGTATTGCGGCGGGTAGCGCTTCAGGATCTCGTCGATGACGGCCTCATTCTCCTTGGTGAACTTGAAAGGGACATCGGCGTTGTTTTTCGGGGAGTCGCGGTGCTATTCGGACAGGAGAGGGTTAGCGATGAAACCGGAAGACAACGAGTGCCAGCAGCGGTAAGGAAATATCGGAGAGGCCTCGCAGCAGTGCTACGAGGACAATTGACGTCGGGGGAACGGGCGAAGGCGAGTCGGCTTACCACTTGGAGGGTGTCGCTGGGGCGGACGGCTGTGAGGGAGAAGGCGCGGAACTGGGGCCTCGCCGCCCGACACGTTGCCGAGCGGAGGGCTGATCTGAAGAGGAGAGGAGAGAGTCTGGAGGCCATGGCGAGGGACGGTGTGTGGCTGCTCAATTGGCGATGGCGGCTAGAGGACGAGGGGGACAAACGACGCTGGGCTCTGGGATATTGCGGATATGTGCTGTTCGTTTAGATTCGGGAGGTTCAAAAGTCGTGAGCTCTGCTTGGATAATGGATCACTGTGATTGGTTGAGCCGGCTACTGCGTGATTAGGTAATGTTCTGGGTCGGTGGAGGCATAAGAGGCAAAAGGTCGACGAGTAAGCGTCATTGAGACTTGCACAACTCGCGCATAATTGGGATTGTGCAGGGACCCGTTTAATCCGCGGCGAGCGAGCCGTTGCTTGTTCAATCTCCATCTCCACACCTGTACCGTCTTACGGAGGGGTTGGAATTTGTATATGAGCTTCCGCAACAAGCAACAATGCGACGCCAAACTTGATAACTTTGTCAGCCCCCGGGAGGTTTAGATGTGGCATAGCTCTCGATCGGCGTTGTTCTGACCACCTCCTGTTGAAGTAATTACCTACCTAGGGACCAGATACTTCGTGGATCGCACTGCCTGACTACATTTGGGTGTGTAGGCTTACCGGTTAAGGTGGATGACAACATGATCTGGCGCTCAACATATTCCAAGTTACCGTCTCAAACATCTATACGTCTATTGTTGCTACGGCCCTTGCTAGTTGGTACTTATATTATACTTTCTTTGAAAATAATACAAGCAGGATAGGTAGTAGCAAGAAATAGGATACGTCGACCTGCGGCTTCTTCTGTCTTTCCTTCTGGCAGCCCAGAGTTCAGACAACGATCTGCAATAAGTGTCACCCGATAAAGTTGACTCAACTCGACTGTCGTCCCCAATGCCGTCAGATACCTATCTCAGCTGAGTTGTGAACAACCACCCTTATGCGATTGATCAAAAGACTGACAAAACGGCCATGAGATAAGCTAATTGGAGCCCACAGAAGACCAACACGGATGCTAAGAAAACAATAAGCACCTAATACTTACCCCATTTCTTACAGGCGGTACTATTCAACCACAACCGAGCCTGTACCTCGGAGAGAGGCGGCTCCAAAGCGAGACATTGACCGTCTCCGGATTGGGATGCTTACAAAGATGGAGAAGTTGTCAAATCACCTAGAATATCGCTTGCAACGGCAGCGATTGGTCAATGCAAGATTGACTCAAGCCTCAGGAACTCGTGCGACCACAATGTGTTGATTCAATTGCGAACACCCCGTTCGGCAAGACGTCTAGTTTAAGCTTGCCAAGAGTATACAGGAGAGGGCAGAATAGTATCCGCTCCTGCCCGCTTACAAGGTCACTGGTCGACATCAAGTGGAACGAACATGAGGAGGGAGACAGTGGTCTCGCGCACGTTCTTTGCCGCGTTCCGACAGCGGATTATCCAGTTGTGACTCTTTCTCATTGTCTGAGACAATTCATGACAAAACTACGAGCTCTCATCTCGACAGACACCTCCAAACGAGAACTCGCTGTATCTCGGTGTTTTAGACAAGCGAGTCTCCGGGGCCTGGATGACCTGGGAATCGGTTCGCACCCTGTTAGGCCCCAATTCGTCCTAGACCTTTACCAGACACAAGAGTGAGTGTGTGTGGCACCCAATCGCGAGTTGAACGAGATGGAAACCCTTTCAGGAAATAAGACGTGTCGTCGTCCGTCCGGTCCCTACCTTGCCTTTACCTACTTCTCCTCAGCCCGCCTACTTTTCCGGTCGCTCGCACTACGGATTACCCGCCATGCCTCGGTTCTTCTCCCATCTTCCCCAGCTTTGCCCAGGCGCATAGCTCAGAACCCCCGCATCGACAGGGGTCTGCTGCGGAGATCTAGCGTCACGAAGCCTGAAGGTGCTCCCCCCCAGGTTTAGAGGCATCACTTGTAAGCCATGGTCTCGCCGTAAAGGCCATGGCCATTGGCCGATAGGAGCGCGGGGGGTCATTCTTTGGGGTTTCGCCTGGAGGTCCTTGGCCAAGGGTATCCGTAGGCATGCAGTGATAATGGGACTAAAAAGAAATCCACTTTGGAATTGCCGTCTTCCCCGTTCTCCTCATGGCCTGCTGGTATTTATTTCAACTGGACTTCTGCCGGCTGCTGCCTGTCTTGGTTCCTCTTTCCTTGTAGACAACAAAAAGACAATTTCTCTCTGTGAGGTGTGATAAGACAAAGTGTAAGTTGCGGGTCCTGCCTTTTCTCTCAGAGACAACCACTCACGATCACTGATTCAAGTTCAGTAATATTATATTCTATTTCCAATCCGAAGAGCCGCGGTCAAAACAAGAACTAGGATCACAAGAGAAGCTCAGAAACCTTATTGCAGCAGGTCCCTTCAAGCAGCGGCATCCGTTCATCTTCCGTCCCGCATCGGGGAGAGCTTCATATCACCCTTAAATTCCCATCTCAACAGACCTACCGCGCAAACGCTCCATTTGAAATCAATCCTCGTATTCATTTTGGGTAACAACACCCTCTTGAATATCCACCCGACAGCAAACCATCATTCGAAAGAAACCACACATATCTATACTCCAACATGCCTATCGAATCACGGTGGTCGGAGCCCATTCCGAACTGCTCGTTGCAGACATGGATCTTCGGCTCCTCCAACGCTCCCCTCTCCGACCGCAAAGCATTCTATGACGCCGACAGACCAGACACCCACTTCCTGACCTTCTCCGACTACCGCCTCGTGGCGAAGCAAATCGCCCTCGGCCTGCAAGCAGCGGGCCTCAAGCCCGGCGACCGCGTCCTCCTATTCTCGGGCAACAACCTCTTCTTCCCCGTCGTCTTCCTCGGCGTCCTCATGGCCGGTGGCATCTTCACAGGCGCCAACCCGACCTTTGTGCCCCGCGAACTGGCCTACCAGCTCAAGGACAGCGGCGCAACCTTCATGGTCGCCGCCGAGGGCAGCCTCGACACTGCCCTCGAGGCAGCCAAGGAGGTCTCCATGCCCGCGAGCAACGTCTTTGTCTTTGACACCACGGTGCCCGGCTCCAGCGCGCCCGAGAAGCCCGCGCGGGGCGGCGCCCGCCACTGGACGGAGCTCATCGCCCCGAAGGCGCGGGCCGAGACTTTCCAGTGGGTCGAGCCGGCCGACGCGCACACGACGACGTGCTGCCTCAACTACAGCTCCGGCACGACGGGCGTGCCCAAGGGCGTCGAGATCTCCCACTACAGCTACGTTGCCAACGGCACCGGCGTCGTGAAAGTGGCCGCGCTCGAGCCGGACCACGAGGCCTCCGTCGCCCGCTCTGTCGGCCTCTGCTTCCTGCCCCTCTACCACGCCTACGCGCAGACGTACTTTGTCGCCAACTTTGCCAAGCAGGGGATCCCCGTCTACATCATGACGGGCTTCGACTTTGTCAAGATGCTCACCTACATCCAAAAGTACCGCGTCACGCAGCTCGTCAGCGTGCCCCCGATCCTCGTCGCCCTCACAAAACACCCCATCACCGCCAAGTTCGACCTCAGCAGCCTCGAGACCGTCGGCTCCGGCGCGGCGCCCTTGGCGGCGGACGTGGCTCGCCAGACGGAGCGCATCCTCAAGAAACAGGACCTTATTGTCCGCCAGGGCTGGGGCATGACCGAGGTCACCTGCACGGCCATGACGTGGGACCCGAACCGCCTAATCCGCAGCGCCTCCGTCGGTGAACTCATGCCTAACTGCCAGGGGAAGCTCGTTGACCCCGAGACGGGCAAGGAGGTCACCGAGGCTAAAGTTCCCGGCGAGCTCTTGATTACGGGCCCAACCGTCATGCGTGGCTACTGGCGTAACCCCAAGGCCACAAACGAGACCATCGTCACTGATGCCCAAGGCAACCGCTGGCTGCGGACTGGTGACATTGCCTATATTGAAGAATATAGCACTGGCGGCCTCTTCCACATCGTCGACCGCATGAAGGAGCTCATTAAAGTCAAGGGTAATCAGGTGGCCCCAGCTGAGCTGGAAGCATTGCTTCTTGAGCGTCAAGATGTGGCTGATGTTGCCGTCATTGGCGTTACCATTGACGGGGAGGAGTTGCCGAGGGCATACATCGTCCGGTCACCCGATACCAATGCCTCTGGGGAGGAGATTGCAGAGTGGCTCGCAGGTCGTGTCGCCAAGCATAAGCGTCTCAAAGGCGGTGTGTCGTTTACCGATGTGATTCCCAAGAACCCAGTAAGTCTTGCTCCTCTGTTGATTGTTTGAACAAAAAGGCTAATGGCGTAACCAGTCCGGAAAGATCCTGCGAAAGATTCTTAGAGAAAAGGCCAAGCAAGAAGTTGGCGACGCAGTTGCAAAACTGTAGAAAGACGGTTATTGACAAGAAACACTGTATTTATCGAATGACACTTCAGAGGTGGAGGGGGTTTACATAGCTTCAACGTAACATAGCAGCTCAGGAAGAACAAAGTCACCAAATAGAGTGGCTCCCGATTGGGAACTTCCGATAATGTTACATAAATTCGTCTATAACGTTCCACTGACTAGAGCTATCTTTCGCCCACCTTCCAAATATTTGGCTCACTTGAAGTGAGCAATAGGGTATCGTCCATACTGTACAGAACCCTTCCGTTGCTAAACAACCGTGAACTCCCTGCCCCTTTGTTACTCGACGAAAGCGTGCACAAAGTGTGCCGCCCCCAGTTATCCTTCCACTCAGGATAAAGCACGATGAAAAGGAAAACCGACCAAACTTGCCAAATGGCGAAAACCCAATGACGCCTTGCCTGATGCCAATGCTGATGAAAGTTCGATGCTGGAAACCATGGTCTTCGACGGTGTCATGAGGACACCTCGATCAACCCTTTCGGCTTCGACGTGATCGAAGTGATCTTTTATTCCAGCCCCACAAGCGCCCCCAATCTTTGTAAACGGGATGGATACCCTTGAGAAAGCGCTTGGCGTACACCTTGTCTCTCTTAGTAACCCATGACCGTGTCGGTGGTTGTCCGTACTATGATCCAACTGCAAGACACGAATCAAGAACAGAGTCAAGGGAGCTCATATCTTGAGGATCTGCACCTTCCCACCAGGGCTCCGAGTCAATTTCCATTGCATCGACGTGGCCGTTGGGCAGCTGCTCTGTGATCACCGGTTTGATATCAGAAGCTTCTTTCTTGGCTCCAGGAGGTTCGAGACCCGGGAGCCATGTGTAATCGTGCCAATTCTCGAGCTCTCCTTCACGGTAGCCATACGATATGGCTGTGTTGATGATAGGGAACTGCGCTAAGCCGCTATCGGCCATCTCCAAGGCAATCCGTACGTCGGCCATGCCAAGGGGTCCACGCTCGCTTGCTGCCTTCGACTCAATAGGTAGAAGACCGCTCTTATCGCGTGTGAGGTCACCTCGCAGGGCTGCATCCTCCTCCTTGACGAGCTGGTGTCGGTACTTATGGGTTTGGATCCATTGCGTACCCGCTCCAAACCCAGCGGTGGCGCCTTCTCCAGGGCCGTTGCTCTTTGTCTTGGCAAATATGGCGGCCAGTGATTCCTTGATGAATGTTTCGGTCGCAACTGTCATGAAGTGTGGCGCATCCTGGACGTGACCGCTCGTGAGTCCAGCCTCGTAGCAGAACGGCAGCATTCTGCCTTCGACTACAGGGGCATCGGGAAACTCGCCAGACTCTCCGGCCAATGGTTGCGCAAAGCGCTTGCGAATCTCCAAATCGAAATCTACAACTCAGTCAGCATTCGGCCTTTACCAGTAAGCCGAGGTCCCACTCACTCATCTTATTGATACCACCAATGCCCCCTGCGCTAGGTGGTACGTCGGCCGGCTTGGGCTGTCGTCGGTGGTGATCCAGGAACACATTGGAGAGGCTCTCGTAGGGGTCGAACTGATGGAGTTTGACGTTAGCATATCGAGTTTCAACAAGCTTCGGATGAGGACTAACGTCATTTCCAACCAAATCCTTGATACGCCGACGGTCTTTGGTGGGCAACTGCATCACGTCGCCCTTCAGACGACGCTCCGCCGCATCTCCAGATACAGGCTTACTGCCGACAGGAGCGGTGGGCTTGTCGTTGGCGCTGACCCAAGTGGCAAGCCCCTGGTCGGGCATCTCCCTTGTGACATTGCCGTATATCGCAGCAATTAGCTGATTATGGAGGTGTTCCTTTTCGCCATTGGAAGATGTGAGGATAGGATCGATCCGTTCTGAGTATTCGGTCTGATTCAATCGACCTAGATGCGGATGTTAGCTTCCGAGTGATGATTGCGCGGATATCCGGAGTTGCTTACCGATGAGAAACTCTGTGGTTGACTCCTTGTAGATGACCCATGCTTCCGGGCCGATGGCCTGCTTCAAGGCGGTATAAAGCGGCTCTAGGTCAATGCGGGCGGGTATGATCTGACTTGTTTTGGCGGCTTTGACAGAACCGGGAGGTTGTACAGTGATGGATTTGGTGGAAAGCGTCGGCGTGGAAAGATTTACTGATGGGCGGCTGCTCAAAGCCGCGGGGTCGATGTCGGGCATTGCGACACGGGATGCCAGACAGGCAGATCACGTCGTCGAGCGTATTAGTGGAGCTGAGCGACAGTCGCGTGCAGCAGCAGCGGCGGCGGGCAGGACTCGGCGCAGGGTGGAAAGTATGTTCATGAGTAGCATAGAACGAAAGAGAGCGACAATGCGATCGCGAATTCGGTACTATCTCGATGGACGGGGCATGTTGTGGGCGCAGGCGTGATGACGAAGTTCGGGAGTGAGGTTCCAGTGGTTGGGTCCGGCTCCGTCTCGTATAGTGGAGGAAGACGGGATGCGATTGAGAGGTGCTGCACTGCGTTGTCGATGGAAATTTTGCCGAACTGTCTGACGACAAAAGCTAGGGGAGGGCCGAGCCTGGGGAAGAAGTAGTGGGGACCACAGATTAGTATGTGAGTTGGCAGGCCGCAAGGGTTTCTGATACATCCACTAACGCTCTGACCACTTCCCCGTGAGCCCCTGTAGGCTGCTTGCAATTGGCATCAGCAACACTGTGAGGTCGCGTCCGGCGCGTCTCTCACAGCGAGCTGCAATGCTGCGAGTACAACAACGAAATCAGTGCGATTTATGACATTGACTGGCGCATGATCTGCTCTTCACCTCAAGCTCAAGTCTTCCTTTCCCCTCTCGCTGTGGCATCCCTCCCGAGACGGCTTCACCTTGTCTTTGAATCTCGAGGTGGTCAGTGTCCAGCAATGCCATCATGTCCGCCAACCGAGAGCATCGCATTGCCGGTGCCGTCGACAGCCTAATCGCACACTTGGTACCCAACGACCCTCATGAGGACGATGCCGCGGCCCAGGAGAGACACGACAACTGCTTCGAGCTGGTCAAGTCAATTTTGGATGCGTAAGTCTTGAGACCAATTGCAATTTCACGTAGTGTTCGACCGCTTGTATGCCATGTCGCTGACCGGTCAACCTTTAGCCCCGCGTCCCCCGCCATTTCCTCCGATGTCAACCACGCCTCCGACCTGATCAAGCGGAAGCTCATACAGAGCAACCCAAGCCAAGCGCTGCGCTTCTCGAACCTTTATACCCGTCTTCTCTCATTACCAGTCTTAGGCCAGAAATGGGCTATCCTCTACCTCCTCTATCAGCTCGGCGACTCGCCCGATCCAAGCGAGCCGCTTCCTCTTGTTCCACCGAAACCTCCTCCACAAACGCAGCGCGACCCATTCAGGAAACATGAAAGAGAACGGTCGTCCAAGAACTCTACACCGATATCGAGGCAAGAAGAAGAGGAGTTCGACGATGCATTTGCGCCAGAAGGATTGAAGAACTTTCCCCCAAACCACACCAAGAACAGTAAATCCGTTGACGAAAGAGAAAAAGACTCGGAAAAGGAGAAGGAGAAGGAGGGAGATGGCTCAGAAACGGACAAGCGACAAGTGAACTTGAAATCCACCTTACTGGCCGATAATTACGTCGAGATTGACCCTTCCGAGACGATGCTCTTGCGAGATCTTCCCTTTACTCTCCAAGGACTATCTTCGACTACCCTGCCCTTCTCGCGGCCCGATACCATCACCTTACCCCCGACTTTACCACCTCCGATCATCTCTCTACTACACACAGTAGCCGAGCCATCTTTGTTATACCGACGTCTCGATGTCTTTGTCAAGTCCCCCGCACAGGGCTTGCTGAGACAAAGTATTCGAGCTGCCATAGGCGGTGAGCTGCGGTCATATCTCAGCCTCGTCGCCACTCTTGAGGGTCAAATTCGCAAAGCCTTGTCTTCACTCGATGAATCCGCTCCAAGAGGTGGCATAGGAAAAGCGGGCGTCACGTTGAAGAGATGTGTAGTATGGACCCGAGAAGCCACGATGGGGCTGCGGCTTATGAGCCTTATCGCCGAAGAATCAGAGAGTAAAAGAGGTGGACAACTCATCTCGCTCGTACACGGATTTTCCTCTTCGCACGGTGACCCCATGGTTGCAGCGTTTGCCGAACGTCTACTCGTACATGTCACACGCCCGTTCTACGATATTCTGCGTCGGTGGATATACGATGGCGAACTACTCGACCCATTCTGCGAGTTCTTTGTCAAAGAACAGAAGCAGACGGACGAGCCAAAGACGGGTGGGAACAGTGTATGGGAAGATAAGTATGAAATCGACAAGGACATGGTCCCAAGCATCATTACCCAAGACTTTGCTCAAAAGGTCTTCCTTATTGGCAAATCTCTCAACTTTATCAGACACAGCTGCGGTGACTCTCAGTGGGTTGAAGACTACTCCAAGGCGGCCTCGAAGGAGTTGCGCTATGGCGATACGGCAACCCTCGAGGCCTGGATCGATGAGGCATATAAGACGACAATGAAGCGTCTCATAGACCTCATGGCCAACAAATTCCACCTATTCGAGCATCTCCAGGCGCTGAAGAACTACATTCTGCTGGGGCAGGGCGACTTCATCGCCCTTCTCATGGAATCCCTTGCTGCGAACCTCGATCGCCCTGCCGGCGCACAATACCGACATACTTTGACGGCTCAGTTGGAACACGCTATCCGCGGATCCAATGCGCAGTATGATTCACCCGAAGTCCTCCGTCGCCTTGACGCCCGGATGCTCCAGCTGTCCCATGGTGACATAGGCTGGGACTGTTTCACGCTGGAGTACAAGGTCGATGCTCCGGTAGACGTTGTCGTGACCGATTGGGGCAATCGCCAATACCTCAAGGTATTCAACTTTCTGTGGCGCATAAAGCGTGTCGAGTTTGCCCTCGCTTCTACTTGGCGCAAGTGTATGACAGGTTCACGCGGGGTCCTCCAGAATTCTGATCCTGTTGTCGTGCAAACATGGAAATCAACACGCGGCATTCTGGCAGAGATGATTCACTTCATTGGCCAGTTGCAATACTACATCTTATTCGAAGTCATCGAGTCGTCCTGGAACGAGCTCCAGAAACGGATACATCGCGAAGGCTGCACCCTGGACGACCTCATCAAAGCACATACTCGATACCTCAACGACATTACACACAAGGGTCTCCTAGGTGCGCGGCGCAGCGTCCGCCACGCTGATATGGCCACAGGCGAAGACGACCGCACCTCATACCTGTCTCAGCTCGGCGACCTCCTGCGCGCCATGCTCAGCTACCGCGACTCCGTCGACGGCCTCTACAGCTGGAGCGTTTCCGACTTTACACGCCGGCAGGAGGCCGACGTGATGCGCATCTCCACCCGCGGGCCACGTCACCAGAAGAAGGAATCCATGCCCGGAGCGGACGGCGAGGACGAGAACCCGGCCGTCGCGTCAGAGTTCCCTGTCCTCCAGGACCGTCTGCGCCAGCTCGGCGCCACGTTCCGCACCCGCCTTCAGATTCTGCTGGGTGACCTTGCGTACCAGCCGGACGTTGACATGCGTTTCCTCGGTGTCGCCATGAATTTCAACGATGTCTATCAGCCCTCGAGGAGGAAGACAAAGACCACCTCGACAGCCTCTGCAAACACCTCGAGAGCTTGAGAGTGAGACGAGACATGGGAAAGCCGAATCGAAAAGTTTTGCGCCGAAAAGGAACTGGCATTAGAGTTGAATTAAAGCTGAATATTAGAAGGCGGCACAGATGGAATGAACGCGAAAGTGACAGCCCCACACACGCAGCGTGAATCTCGATCGCGTGGAAGGCTTTCAAATCCCGGCTGAAGAACCAGAGTCAGTTCTCAGAGGAGGAAGTTTTGGGGGCCAAGCGAGGCATTTGAGGGCTCAGGGCTGAGACAAATTGGCCATGCGATTTGGCGGGAACTTCGCGGGAGGGGAGATGATAACTACCTGACTCTTCTTTACTTTGCCTTTCTCGCCAGTGGGGGCTGAATCAGTCGGTGGGCGGGAACAGAATTACGTTCACAGACATTTAGAATTAGGGGCGTTTGCAGTTTTCGCATACCTGGATAGCGGGATGGAAGACGGCGGAAAGAACACTTGATTGGAGCTTTTACGCAGGAGAACTCAGAGAAGCCTCTCATGAATGACGAAAGTACCTTACCTACCCATCCTCACAATTACTTGTCACCTTGCAGTAAATCTCACTTTGCATGGCTGTTCTACCCCGTGGGGTTCGCCAAGAGCCACTGCGCCAGTTATGGGACTTGTACTTACTGTACTCACCACTAGAATTCACGAATAGTGTAGGAGACTTGAAACACAGGCAAACAATATTCGCATACAAACATTAGGGACCTCGAGTGAATTTTTAATGAAAAGTTCATAACTATCATGCCATTTCGTCATGGAATCATGAGCCAAAAAAGATTGCAACCTTCCCAATGACAAAGGGAACAGGCGCAGTCTGGCCAGGAGATGATCTATCTGATCCTTGGGTAAACACGTATGATACGGCTACCATGCAGAGTTTCCTCACAAGAGAAGAAACATGTTTAGAGAAAAAACCATACCCAGGGCGATGAATGTGCTCGAAGACACAGAACAAAAGAGATGCCCGTTTCCTTTCCTCCTCTCCCAACCGCCAGCCGATACTCTGACAAAATTACTCATATGTACAAGTTGTGATGCACGTGCAATGCAGCCCGGAGCCTCCGTTTCTCATCGAAGCCTTTTTGGTACCGTCATTGCCCTATGGTGCTGTGAACCAGAGACCCATAAGGAATCGCGTGTTTCGAGTCTCTCTAAAGCCCGTTGTTTTTCCTGGTTCCCGTTTTTGTTTTCGTACTCGACGCCAGGGTTGTTGTCGAGACAGTGCCTTTCCAGGCTCGTCTCTCAGAATCCAGATCTAGTCTATACACGAAAGTCTCGTGGCGGCCGCAGCCATGGCAGAGGAGAAGGCTCAACAGTTGATGAGCCATGCCACTGAGCCGCCAGACTTTCCAACTTTCTTTTTCGAAACAAATATCTCTGGCGATGCTTTGCAAGCGAGTGCCTGCGTTAGGCATGCCGAGAGGATTGACGCCAAAACTCGTCCGCGGAGTCGAACAGTTTGAAATCGTGATATACCGCTGAGCGTACGACCAAAGAGGAAGACCAACATAGTCTTCACAGCAGATCTTGCTGAACTCGCCACAAGGCTGAACCGTAGCATCGTGATTTCGTAAGGTGTACGCCGCCGCAATAAAGTAAAATTCCGATAGCCATCAAAGACTGC